AAAAATAAGGCTGGTGGAGTGGCTCAAGGTGGAGGCCCTGAATTTAAGCCCCAGTAACATACACACACACACACACACACACAATATCCTTTGAAATACTTTATTTAGTATAATTGGTTGACATATTATTGAAAAAAGTCTTGCCTATGCATATTAACTTGAGCCTATTCATATTAGTGGAAAAAATAGAGTCTCTAAAAGCAGAATGATAGTTTTCCATTATTTCTATGTAGCTACCATTTAGTAAATTAAAAATTATCCTAATATTCTGGGGACCCTGAATTCAAATTACACACTTCTCTCACAGCTCCATGTAACTTTCAGCTTTTAATACCCTAGACTGTAGCCTGTACCCGACGTTCTTCCTGTTAGACTGGAAGGAGGTGGGAGAAGAGGCCTAGCCATCCAAGTAGCAGAAGTGAATAAAGCTGAGACTCCCTTGCCCATTCTTCAGAGAAGAATTTGAAGCTAAGTTCAGTAGCAGACATAGAGACCCAGGATTCCACCTACATCAAGTCACCTTTCCCCACATTTCACCTCAGTATGCTGGTTAACAATAGCAAAATCAGAGTAGCTTTGAGTATAAAAGTACACATTAGAAACTCCCCTGGGTCTACTAGATTTTTCAGAACACAGGTACAGGGAAGAGTACCTGTACAGGGAAGGGTGAAGAATAAATAAATATTCTCATATGTACTTACAGCTTCCAACTACATCTGATGCTCAATTCTGGGTCAATGTTTTCAGGTTTTCTTTCTTTCTTTTCTCTCTCTCTCTCTCTCTCGTTCTCTCTCTCTCTCTCTTTCTTTTTTTTTTTAATAAGCTGAGCACTTTGAGGTCTGATGTTTGGGACATATAGACAACCAGGAAGGAAGTAGACTGCCAAAGCAGCCTCACTGAAAGAGCCTAACAGAAGGAGGAAGTTTTAAAGAGCTGTGAAGTTGGTGCTTAATAACATACATACTCCATAACAAATTTTCTTAAAAAGTCTTTATTTATCGACTACCTAAAAACATAACCACACATATTTGTGTTCTTTGGAAGGCAAATTTACAACAAAAATTCTTAGCGGAATGTTTTTCCCTGTACTGGAGGCCTCTTTGCCTACCAGGCTCAGACAGGGCAGAACCAGAACTGGCAGTGTTGGGTTTAAGTCAAGGACCTCCTGGGTCCTACCCAACAGCAGTTCACTCACCTTTCAATGAGAACATAGGGCAGGGGAAGAGAGGGGACTTATAAGGTCCCTTCTATATCAGAGTCTGAAGCATACAGGAGCATCTAGTGAGGCTGACCTGCTGGCCTTTCTTTTCTTTTCTCTTCCACATCTCATCTACTTCAGTTACACTTCTTGTTTCTCAAAGAAGTGAAAATAAATACCAGGAAAATTGATCTTCACTGCATTCATCTGATAAGGTGGTCCACAACAGCAAGCAAGGGATGGATGAGGCTCACTTACATCCATGTGGCTCAGTCTCACGGGTGGAGCATGTGAAGAAGCAATTTACAACATGGAGTGTATGGTGGGGGCAATCTTAATGCAGCATTTAGACAGATGAGTCAGCTACCATTATTTAGGGAGACAGGTAATAAACACAGAAATCCTACACCTTTGAGATAAGGAGGACTGTGTTTGGAAAGGAATGAAAAGGGATTTTAATTGTATCTGGCTTGTACTTAACAAGTCACCAATGTAAAAACAATAAAAAGTAGCAATGGGCCTTCCTGGTGCAGCACATCAACTAGCACAGGGTGTGTGAGCACAGAGCTGGGCTCACATGAAAAGTGACAGAGAAAGGCAAGGGATCCTTCCAAATGCTCCAGTCTTCCCAAGCAGACAGCAGGCTTCCTGGGCTTGGGTCACAATTATACTGGCAGCACTACTTAGTCCTCACAATGCAGGGCTGTGTAACAATGGAGCAGTCTCTTCCCAGCTCAAATTGATAGTCTAACTGGGCTCCCTACAGAGTGGTTTTAATCATCCTGTTTTGCCCCAGGGTTTCAGTTTTAAATGAGTTGGTCACTTGGTTCTTTACAGTTTTCCAGAAGACATTAATTACTGCCCAAGTTTTACTAAACATGAAATTCCAAGAGCAAGAAATAAGCCAAAACAAACACCTGTGAGGCGTGTACATTTTTCTCCCTGTAATCTTTAGCATAGCAAGTAGCTGAACTCTTCAACAGCATCTTCTTTGGAGGACAAGCTGAATTCTAGTGTGTGTATCCCCCTTTATCTGGACAAAGAATGAGGAGCTCATTTCTTTCCAAAGGCCTAAGATAGCTGCCAGGTTATTCTATAATTGGCTCCCACCCAATTAAAAAATTCAGCATCCATGGGTGCAACAAGCATTTTCCAGAAAATACAGCTTCACTGTTAAAGCAGTATAATATTAAACAACAACAAAAAAGGAATTTACATGGCAATTGAAGTCTGCTTGGAGAATGAAGAGACCCGAAGAGAGCTTTGGAGAAGTGCCAGGGTGGGTTAAATATTCTCCAGTAAAGATGGCCATGGGGAAATAGCAGTACCTCATTTTATCTTCATCTTCCCTTAGGATAATATACCCCAAAATACTTTGCATCTATAAGATGTATACTTTACTGCAGTTCACAAGATGCAATTAGCTGCCTAAATGTGTCCATGCCAAGTGGCTAATGAGATATCTTAAACCCTCGGGCACACCGTAGTGAAATTCTACAACGCTCTGCAAGGAGAAGGTAAGTCTGCACTGTTAAGTACAACAGTGTGTGACATGAAGGTGTGTGGTTCCATACAGCTTTAAAGTTTAGGTGAATTTGTAGAAAACTGAAACGTGTTGGAAGGATAAACCCAATTCTTCTTGTGGACACTTTTAGGGAGGAAGATTTGAGATAGGAAAAAACAAAAAACAAAACATGGTTTTTTTCCCTCTTCTAGATTGCTTACATTTTCTGTAATTTATATGTGTTATTTTAACATTAATCCCCCATTTTAAAAAATAAAAAAGAAACAACATTCCAATGCTTTGCTTACCGAACCTGAAAAGGCTGTGCCCTGTGTAAACCAAGAGATACAATAGGCATTCAATATGTACTTGGGAAATGAATTAAAGAATAAAGAGTGGCATGTGTTTGAGACCTATTTCCTCTTGTTGAGGCTAGAAGTAATAGCTCTTGGCACTCACATCTAAATAAAACAAATAAAAAGTAAGGTGTTCGGTTTACGGAAGCAAGGGGGGAATCTTTGGAATTCTATATAAAAAACTGTATTTTGGAAAAGTACAGTAATTTTAAGGCTCTGTCAGACTATTATTGGCATGAGGAAGCATCTAATATACAAAATAAGCAGAACGAGCCCTCTGAGCCGCAGCTGCTCAGTCAGCTGAGTCCAGCCTTGAGTATCCTGACAGAGCTCACGAACCTGAGCCACTGGCTCCTCCCCTTTAGTGTTGCTATGAATACTACTAACAGAGCAACAAAACAACCAGAAGGGGAAATGTCATAAAGTTTTAAAACTACATCTCACTTGGACTTTTCTTAAGAAAAGTCTTAGCAGTAGTTCTGAAGAATGAGAGACAAAAAAACACAAAGGAACAAAAAACTTCTTGCCTTGTCATTATTAGATTGTATGACAGATAAGGATGCTCTTTCCCAGAATAGCCCTAATGCTTATTAGCTTAAGAAAATGGCAACAAAGTTCACCAACTGGTTTCTAGGGAAGCCCAAGGAGAGGAAACACATGGGATATGGGGCATTGCTCCACTTCAAGAGACCCCAGGCCCACCTCAAGGGCACTGTGGCCTAGCCTCAAGTCAAGATTCAGGTCTCTTCACTCCACAAGCATTTCCCTCAAGAGCTACACTGCTTATATCCATGAATGCATTTCTTTTGGGAGAGCAATCGCCAATTTAGCACATACTTCCCTGAAAAATGGAACAACCACTCTTAGGTATGTACCCAAACTAATTGAAAGCAGGGACCCAAGCATACTTGTAAACGGATGTTCATAACAGTATTATTCACAGCAGTCAAAAGTTAAAACAATCCAAATGTTTGTCACCATGTGAATGAATAAGGTGTGGTGCATCTATAAAGGGAATAGAATTGACATAAAAAGGAATGACCTTCTGAGACACAGTGCAACCTGGATGAGCCCTAAAAACAGTATGCCAAGTGAAATAAGCCACCGACAAAAGCACAAACAAGGTCTGTCCAGTTACCTGAGGCAAATTCAGAGTGAGAAAGTAGAATAGAGGTAGCCAGGGGAAATGTAGAGCTATTGTCCAGTGGGAAGAGTTTCTGTTTGTGATGAAAAATCTGTGGAAGTAGATAGCGATGATGGTCGTACAACATTGTAACTGTACTTAACTCCACAATTATACAATAAGCAGGCAAAATAGTAAAATTTATGTTATCTGTATTTTACTACAATTCTTTTTCTTTTTTTAAAGCTATTGTGGTTATTTAGATAAATGTCATTATTTTTAAGATGTATGTACCAAAATATTTAGGAATGAAATGCCATAATGCCTGCAACTTATTTTCAGTGGGTCCAGAAAAAGAGCAAAATGAAATAAACTTGGTAATAATGGTTGGTGAATCTAGTTGTGAGTGTATGAGTGTTCTCTGTACTATTCTTTCAGCTTCTCTGTAGGTCTGACATTCTTCAAAATAAAAAGAAAACACTGCATAAAAAAAAAAAAAAAAAAAGAAAAATGGAACAATACTGAAGTGCTATCCTCACCAGAGTCACAGGTGAAAAGCAGAAAAGCAGAGTTTCTCAGTTTTCAAGCAAGAACAAACCTTACCACATTAAAGATGGCATTGGAGTCAATGTAAACACAGCACTGGGTCAGTTTTCACAGTTAGCATTGAAGGCAAATGCTAGAACACTGAAATAGTCTACTTGTCAGGACAGTGAACCATCACTTCTTCCCAAAGAAGTCAACTGTCAATCAGATGCAGCCGTTTTTCCACAAAGATTCTTGCTGTGGTTATCCTCAACTGTGAAACTGAGGCCCCTACTTCTGAATTCCTCCAAAGAAAATGAGGGATGTCAACTGACTGTTGTCATAAAAGCCAAATATTTACAATGAAACATAATAATTTGTCTTGACAGTTGTTCACTCTTGAATGGAGGAATGGCGGATAGATCTGTGGTAATCCTCTGGATTGCTAAGGTGTTCTGGTAAATCGTAGCCCCTCAGGAAATGTCCACTGTTTTGTTGAGCAAAATAATATAGTTGTCTGGCTAGCAGAGGTTCCACCTTTAATAAGATATTTAAAAAGGATTTTACAGAGATATTCTTTTTTTTTTTTTAACACTTTGCTTATCATGAAATAACCCTCTAGAGTCTAAGGCTTAAGTTCTAAGTTAAAGTTATGCCAAAGTTATATGGTGTAACATCAAAACATTTTATATTTACATCCATCTTAAGAAACACTTTTTATCAGTTCTTACATAACGCAACCTGCAAACAGAGTCTTCTTAGGTCTGTGTTTCAGTTGAGATTAATGTTAAAGATGATACTTTAAAATCAAATGCCTCTTGAATTTCACACTTAACCAAGACTACATTATCAGATGAAATGGCCAAATTAAAAGGTCACCCTGAGCAACTTATGATCCCTGGGTAGTAGGCATAATTCTAAACTAAAGGTAAAAGAAAAAGAAAGAAAATTAAACAGAAGCAGGACAGTTATTGGTTATGAGCATGGATCACATTTACCAAAACAAAAGTTAACATTGAGTTTTTTGTGACATTACAGCACCTAAAACAAGCTGAAGGCCCTCATCAATCAATAATGCTGTTAAATTGAGCCTTTAAGTTCTATGATATATATAATGACAGGCATAATCCCTGTATAAGTACCCAGAATTAATTACATTCATAATGCAGTACTATTTGGAGGGGTTCCTTGTTTGGGGAACCATTCTTGTTTAAATGTGTGGAAAGCCGTTATATTACCAAATGCAGGATTTTATCATTTACTTCTTAAGTGTTGATTATTAACACAAGTTTATTTAGTCATTTAACAATCTTTGTTGATAACAAGAATTGAATAATTGCATGAATTATATCAATCACTAGAGAGAATTTGTGAGAAAATTCTAAAGTCTGGGATAATATTTTTATTGGCTAGTTAGTTGGTGTTGGTTCTTACAATCAAGAAGGGGAGTTGTATGTTCAAGATCAGCTTTAGGGTTTTTGTTTTCTTTTTGTTTTGTTTATTTTAAGATGATTCAGATTGAACCTAAGGCTTTGGGAACGATAAGTAAGTGCTCTACTACTGAATTGTACTCCCAGGTTTCAATTTTCAATAAGAAGCATTAGCTAAATATCATCTGAATTTTGATATTGTTGGTATATTGATCTGGGTATGTAAAAAAGTAAAATTTTCAAATTCAAAAATCTTAGGTATTTATGACTGTTTTTTATGATGAATGAATGCTAAAGGTTATTTATGTAAACTTGTTTCCTTTTTGTTAAAAAGATGTTTATGGGCCACACTGTACCCACTTTATGCTGTGTTATAACCCATGAGGAAGGACTGATCTACATGGATTCCTTGAAAGGTACAGACTCCTCTAACAACTCATATCCAATAAATAAATAATGTGCAAAAGTCTAAAACAAAAGAGGAGCTGGAAAGCATCTGGAGGGGTCCCATAAGATACGCATGTGAACAGGAAAAGATTCTCTCTTGAAGAGAGATCTGCTACCTACACATCAATTTAAAAGCTTTATTAGATACGGAGAATTTCAAATGGCAGCTTTTAGAATTCATCCCTTCAAATACCTATAAAATGAGAAGATAATAACTTCTTTAAAGAATAAAAAATGATGAGATAAGCAGAGCCCTGGGTTCTAAGTATCCTCCTTGGTTCTCTGATGCCAGAACCAGCACATGGGGCATAGGCTTTCTCCTGTGATGTTTCCTGTGAACTTTCCCAGGTCATTTGTTATTTGCCTCTCATGTGAGACTTCTCCCTTGATAAAGAATAGGAAAACTCAAAGACTATAACTGAATACTCACGTGGGCTGTGATGAGCTTCCTCTGCCTCTGCGGGTCTGGAAACTCCTCCCCAAAGCACAAAGTCACCTGGAATCTTGGCAGTGGCCGGCCGTGGTGAGCGAAAGCCTGCAGCTCTGTGAACCCACAGAAAAACCCTACTCAGAAACCCAGCAAAGCAGCCAAACAGGAAGCAACAGCTGTTTGTGGCTCTTCACTGTGATGGGGTGAAGTAGGGCTCTGCTTCTCTAAGCAGGACCCTTAACAAGCAGACCCCAGGTATGACATCACATGTAGAGTCCCGGGTGTGTGTTTCCTGACAGAGCACTAGTTTTATTCCAATTCTTTTAGGGGAATATGGCTTAAGATTAAGAACACCGCTTGGCAGCATTGGACTAATCAAGATGCAAAAGGTCACCGAAAGAAGGAAAACAGGGTGGAAAAGAAAAAGAAATGTAATCATGTGGAACCAAAAGAACAACTTATGCAAAGGAGACATCTTAATTCTAAAAAACCAGAATGTTCTGACATCCCAGGGCTATTTTAAAACCTTACTCCCTAACTATGGAGGCCACATAATCTAGCATCTGCTTCTGGGCCATCTAAGTCTCAGGTACCAGCTATGTCTAAACTACAACTGTAGAACTGTGGAACTGAGCAGACCTCTTGTCTTCCCCAGTGACAGAATGTTGAACCCTGGAAGGGTTGTGATAAAGTCCCAGGAGTCCCTACTCTGGGGGATATGCATATACTGTAGCCTCTGCTCTTACCCAAAGGACATAAAACAGACAGGAACATTGTTGGAAGGACACCTGTTCAGAGCTGGGGTTTTAGCTCAGTGGTAGAGTGCTTGCTTCACATATGCAAATCTCTAAGTTTCATCTCAGGCACACACACAAGAAGGAGGAGGAGGAGAAGAAAAAAAAGAAGAAGAAGAAGAAGGAGGAAGAGGAGGAGGAAGAGGAGGAGGAGAATAGGGGGAGGAGGAGGGATAGAAGAAAGAGGAGGAAGGAGGAAGAAGGATGGATGGAGGAAGAGGAAGAAGAAGGAGAAGAAGAAATACATGTGCTCAATCTCAGGTGTTAACCACTATTTCCTTGCCCCAGATTCAAGGGAACACATGCTCTTGGAGCTAGAGTCCAAGGTCTTGTCTGTAAAAAAAGTGAATTTACATGGATGGGAGCTACTAAGGCTTCTGCAAAACAGTATTGCAGATGTGGTCCTTATCAGATATGCACTCTCAGGTTATGCCTTTGGGGACTGTCCCTAGCAGGGTGCAAATCCTAAATAGGTAGAGATCAAAGATTTCCACTGCTTTTTGCAACTGAAGAGTTTCTAGCTAACTCACAGGACTACTTGACTTCCTGCTTTTTTCTTCATTTGTCTTCCAGAATTCAAATCAAACCCAACTGACTTAGTCAGAATGTGTAAAACCTATTCACACTGTGGTGGCCTAAAGGGACACGTACACAGCTAATTAGAGTGGCAGGTTGGCACAATTCTCTGAAAAAGTCATGCTCAAACACTTGCTGACACAAGAATTTCAGTGGGAATCCATTCTGTGGAGGTTGGTTCACTGTGTTTTCCTTGAACATCAGTAAAACTCAGAGATTGTGGTGGGCAAAAAATATATGTCTTGGTTACATAAGAAGGAAAAAAAAAGCAACTCTTGCTCACAAATAAATATTGAATTCTAGTGAATTTGCAGTCTGAGAATGTCATTCTTCTCTTATATCAGCTTCTTGCCTGTACCCAAGTGTCACCTGTGCACCTGTGACTCAAAGTGTACTTTACAGCTCAGTTACGATGGAAGATTCTACTTCCTTTAAACATGCATAGCAAGAGAAATTCAGAGAAACAAGTGTCATTTTTCTGAGATATTTTGTTTAGAAAGCCCTCACTCTTAGGTATATGAATCCAAAGAAATCAAGATTTACAATCTCTTAGTAAGCTCAAGGAAGGGTTGGAGATGGGGCTGCCTTCCAGAATGTATGCAAATTTCAGACCCCAAGGCAGATTTAGGAGGTTCTGACAGGCACCCTCCATGGCTATTTGTTCTCTTCTGCCTCTCATCATGAACACCAGACCTGACTCTAAGGCAGACAGGCCAGTCAGGCCAAGACTTGGAGAGGATCTGCTGCTTAGATCAAGGGCATCCAGCCCCATGCGTCTTCTTTACCAAGCAGCTGCCTTAGAGAGCTAGAGATGACTCTCTTTCTTTTCTGTGTTCCAACTCTGTGGTAAGAGTATTCATCTGGGAACATATTTATTTGGGGCACTAAAAGAGAATTTGGATGAGACAAAACAAATCTGGACCACTGAAACTCAAAGGGCCAAGGAAACGTGAGAAATGCCATAGCACATAAGTGCTTCATTTTTTATATTAAATGAATTGAATCAAGAAGCACCTTTAGGATACAACAATCATATTTCTGGGTACCTATCCAAAGAAAAGGAAATCAGTATGCTGAAGCAATATCTGTACTCCCGTGTTCATTGCGGCACTATTCACAATAGCCAAGATAAGGAATCAAGCTAAGTGTCCATCTATGGATAAATGGAGAAAGGAAATGTGGTATATACACACGATGGAATACTACCCAACCTTTAAAAAGAAGGAAACCCTGACATTCTAAACAACACACATGAACCTGAGGATATTATGCTAAGAGAAATTAGCTTTGCATGGAAAGACAAACATTAAAAAACAAAAGAAAGACAAATATTACATGTGTAGAATATAAAACAGTTGAACTCATGAACATAGAGTAGAATGTTAGTTATCAGAGGCTGGGGGAGGGGGCCAGTTACACAGGAGGAATAAGTTGAAGAGATCTATGTACATCCTCATGACTATAGTTAACAATGTACTGTATACTTGAAAATTGCTGAGAGAGTAGGTTTCAAGTAGTGTTCTTACCAGAGATAGGGGTAATCTGTTAGTGTTAATCAGTTTAGCTCAATTTAGCCATTCCAGAATATATACATATTTTAAAACAACATGCTGTACACAGGTGAAGGGGAAAAGCATGTTCAGGCAAGGGAGCCTAGGCACATGAAACACCAAAGACATGAGGAGTTTCAGAAGAGGGCATTTGTGAGAGAGTAGGTTCAGGATAAGGTAGGGCAAGAACTGGCTTTAGTAGGCAGACAAAATAGCCTTCTTTGCACTAAAGTCATCCTCCAGCTAGATAGCTAGTGGACTTTGGATGAAGCCCATAGTGGCATGGCCAAAGAGTTCACAAAAACCAGTCCAGAGTTAATTTAATTTTACAAATTCAAAACTAGAAGAACAAAAAGAACTGCTTATGGAAAATATGATTAGAAACATTCATATGACAGACAACACGAAGCCTTCTCATCATCTCCCCTTTGCTAAGTTAGTTTAGTACACTCCTAGCATTGTTCCACCTGGAAGATATCAGTGTTCTCCTAACCTTCATGATTTTTCTAGAAACCCAAAAAGAGCTGACACATAAGCAAATAAGCTTGTGGAGAGCATACTACCCATAAAACCAGAGCTGCTGAAAACCAAAATTTTAAGATATCAGACTACACCAGAATTCACCCCAGCCATCTCATCAGGACTCTTTTTATGTCCCTCTGTTGATGAAGGGAGCGGAAGACAGGCAGAGGTAAGATTTGACCCACACAGGGAATCTATTCTGGAATGAATCCCATTGGATTCTGGTTCTAATAGGAGGAAAACTTCTGCTTGCAGCAGGACAGACCTTGTCATTTTGAACCCCCATGGCAACACCCAACAGCACCTCCATTCTAACAGATAATGACATATGTTACCTGATAAAAACTGCTGTGTGTCAAATAGCTTGCAGGTCTGATCTCTCTCCAGTTTGTTGGGCCGGTCACTGCACAGAGCCAGGGGCCCATCCCAGTAGATCCTGCTCTGGCATAGTCTTTTGGCATAAAGCCCATCCGGGGCCATCCAGAGGACCACACCCCTCTCCAGGTGGCTCAGCAGCTTCTCAATGTTCTTCCTCTGCCCATTGTCTTCTGGGTAGGGGAAAAGGACTTGGTCCAGGTTGCTGGCATCATAGGTGTGTCCATGGGAGATTCGGCAGCCTTCAGGGCTGGATGTGGTCAGCTCCTTCACCAGGATTTCTCGGTAGTAAAGGCAGATGTGCAGCCGGCAGTCTGCAAACACAGAGCTCTGGGGTCAGTGGTGACAGACCCGGAACACCTGCCACAATACCCAAAGACCAAACCAGAACAAAGGGCACTGGGTGACGCACTAGCATCCACAATGCTCCATGAACAAGCAAGCAGTTCCAGGGTCAAAGAAATCCAAGAGGTGCTGCATATCCTGTCTCCATGTTAAAGATTCCCAGATGGTGAGAATATTCAATGCTTATAGAAGCCACAGAAAGAAAGTTATTTGTCTAACTCAGCTGTATCCACTTTTAGGGGGAAGGTGGAGCATATGTTTAATTCTATGCAAAATATGTTTAAGTTATATTAGAGATCATTTTTGAATGATGGCAATAGTGGTGACTAAAATACTAAGTCATGTGCTACTGAGGAAGAATTCTTTAAGCAAATTAATTTTGATTTTGGGATGGCTCTTAAGTTTAATTTCTAGTGTGTGTGTATGTTTACAATGTTGTTTTCAGAAGAAAAGAAAGTATATTCACATACCTGAAACTTTCCTAAAATAGCAACATGATGTCATTTAAAAAATAGATGATAGCTAGCTAGCTAGCTAGATAAATAGATAGATGGAGGGTAGGCACTTAAGGCCTTAGGGTACTGATTTCTGGATGATGGAATATGGCATTTTTATTTTCCCTTTTTGATTTTCTGATTTTAAATTACTTTTCTACACTGGATATGTGTTATGTTTTTCATAAAATTAACTTGTGGAAAGAGATGAGTCAATGAGAAAAAAATGCTATAAGAGTCGACAATTAATGTAAAACCTGCTGAAAGTCCACTGAGCTTTGTATTTAAGCTTGAAAATAACTCTAAAATTGTGCTTTCTAAAACTTTTAGACAAATTCATTTACAGAAGCCTCCTCATTTTGGAAACCTCTTTAAAATATCACCCACAGGCTGAAAGGCTCAAGCTGGGTTTTCAAAGAGCTCCTTCACAGGCCACCCAGTAAAGAGGAGCAGCCCAGGGGTCTGTGGGGTTTGTAGATGACTGGGAAGCACGGTTCTCTGATAAATCACTTGAGGCTGATAACTAATCTTATGCACACCAAAAAAAGAAACCCACAAAAGCCTCTTATTCTTCAATGGCAGGTTTTGAGACTAAGCCCACATCACTGTCTCTTCAATTTCTGCCACTATAAACAGCAAGTCAGGTGGTGCACCAAAGAGAGTGGGTGTTGGCCATTAGAGGTGACTGGCAGGGCAGGTTTCATTTCATTTGATGTCATCACAAGGTTGCAGAGATATAAATAGCTGTTTATTTCCTACTGTTCAGGCACCCACACAAGTCTTAGGTGCTCAAGAAAAGGGTTTGAAAGTTTCTAAAAACAAAGACAAGCCTTGCTCTCAGAAGCCACCTCCCACAAAAGGTATCATCTTGGTTATTCATGAGCATCTCAGAAAAAGCACAGGACTGGCCTGAACATTACAACTGGAAGGAATTACAAGGTAAACCCATTCCCCTGTGACCAGGAATGTGCCAACTCTGCTTTCCTCAAAATCTTCAAAACTTAGTTCATATTTTCCATTATAGAATTTTAAAGAGGCTCTGTGCAAGATGAGAATTCCAAAGCTTAAGCTATTCATTTTTAATATTAATTCAAAATATTACCTAAAGAATAAATAGAGTGATAGGATATATGCTTACTAAGCTGTGAGAGAGGCCTTCCTTAACAGATAAGCTCTTCCTAGTGCAGGTATTCTTCTAGAAATGGAACTTTACAGATCAGATTGAATCCATACTTGTGTAAGTCCTATCAAAGATCTGAGGAATATCAAAATGTGTGTTCCTTTTGGCATAAGAATGTCATGGAAACCAGAGGCCAGGACTTATGTCCCCAGCAAACAGTTCAGGACCACCAGTTTGTGGCTAAACGTAGAAGGACAACAGCTATCTGTGATGAGAAGCCCTTAGCTTTCCGACGAAGTTACTCTATGTTGTGAGAATGATGCTTAAAGGAGGGCCCCTGGTAAAGGAAACAAGAGTGTTTGCACATTCCTGGAAATTTGGATGGATGCTGAGAAGAAACTAAAATGATTTCTGCAAGTGGTGTTTGGAACTATTACCAGAATCACAGGCAAGCTGGCTTTTCATGCTAGGTCTTCAAATAGGGTTCCTTTTCATCATGGTGACCACATAGCCTGGGTGACAGGATATATCTACACCTACTCCTGACCCAAGGGGTACAAAGTGTTTATATCCCCACCAAAACTACCCAAAGGCAAGAGAAGCCAAGCACAGAAGCGAGCTGCACTCACCTGAGAGCGCCAGGGCTTCAGCAGACCTTATGCTTGGCTCTATGGGGATTCCAGGAGCCTGGGACTCAGGTGGGGCACAAGCATAAAAGGTTCCTGTCACCTGGCAACCTGCGTTTGTAAATAAAAATCAGATGATGTCTAAGCAGAGCGTTTAAGCACCTTGAGGCTGCCTGAGTGTGAACTGAGCTTGGGAAGAGGGGCTATGCCCCTGTTACTTTCCAACCCAAGCTCAGCATCCTCTAAGCACTTGCTTGACAGCAGGGCACATGGTTGTGAGGCGAGGGCAAGTCACGGCACATTAGGAAAAACCGAAGTTGAAGAAGGAAGGAGCCATTACATAGCTTTAAAGGAAACCCAGAGCTCTTTCTGTCATTTATGACTGGGAAAGTGAGTCTCAGAGGGAGACTCTACTCACATAAGCAAGGTCACAGCAAGGGCCTGGAGCTCAGGTCTTTATGAGTTCTGACACTGAAGAAGCCTATTGAAAACTAGTGAGTTGTTTAGTTTGCATTTATTTTGTTTGCTACTTCTGGGTTCAGGAGAAAGCAGGATCATGTTTCCTGCAGCCTAGTAGCTGTGTGTTGCAGTAGACACGAAGAGAAAGAGATTATATTGGCTGGGGATGTAATCAGTGGTTGAGCACTTGTCCAGCACTTGAAGCTTTGGGTTTGATCCTGGCAGAGTGGGAGATTGGAGGGCGGAAGAGAGAGAGAGAGAGAGGGAGAGAGAGAACATAATCCCAGTTGTTCTGGCACTTGACTTAGTGTTACCCATGCATTGAAATAAGTCTATCCATTCCATTTTTGTCCAATTTGAAGCACTGCCTCTTTACTACAGTTGTTAGTAATACAGCCTGATGCATACAGGTCTGAAATTTCAGAAACTAGTTTAATGTGAGATGACTCCTGCACTGCAATACAGAAAACCAAACTTTGCTGCAATTAGTTCTTTGAAAACTAATAAAATTGAATTCCAAGTTACTTTTAAGCATGCTGCTGAATACAAACATTAAATAATGACAGACATCTTCAATACCAGAAGGCAGGAATGATCTAAACATGGTTGGAAAGGGGGTAAACACAGAATTGTGAAGGAGCAATACTCCCAGAACCCACAAAAGGGTCAGTGTGTGGACATACCTAACTCAAAAGTTCTAAAAGTTTGTGTTTTGCTGCGGTAGACAGATCTTGAGAAACTTTTCTGTACCTAGGTAATTAGTGCTTCTGCTATGAGATCTTATTTTGATGCCTAGGGAACCCCTACAGGCATGAGACCACATCTAATCCAGAATAAGTAAATCTTTTGGGACCCAATACTAGCTAGGCTCCTATAGAGACATTTTGTGGGTTTTGTCACGGTGTTTATTCACTCCCTTCTTATTGTCACCTTTAATACCAAAAACAGCTACAATGAAGGACATATACTAGCTCAATAATCTTCCCATGTCCTTGCACAGGGGGATCCTGAGAACAGCTGGCATATGCCCATTATGGGTATATGCCCACAGATAGGTAGACAGAAATAGATTGGTAATATTATGTAACCCACCATCGACATTAAGGGCAATGTAGGATGGAAGACTGCCAAAATCCATCCCTTTTTGCCTAAGATTACAAATGGAGTTTAAGAATTTTCAGGGAGGATAAAAATGTTAACTTATTACCCAGATTATTAAAAAATATATAGACAATTAGTTTAATTTCTGGTTCTTATGGGGAAGACTGAGCTTGTTCTAGGAGATCTGATTATAGGAGATCTTCACTCTTATTGGGTGATTTGGGCACATTACTTACATTTTACGAACTTTCATGATCTCCTCTATTTAAGAAAAAAATGGGACAGATTTTAGCTGCCTGGAATGATCTCTGGGATGTTTAGTTAAGGGCTCATGAAGGGCAATACCTAGTATGGACCCTGAGAATATGCTTGGTTCTGAGGACTTAGCATCCAATAGGTCAGAGAAACCCTCCTTCTTCTCTTAGCTGCCCGTGAGGTCTTTCTGGCAGTCCCTGATAAGAAGAAAGCCCTGTGGTGGCCTCTTGTAGTACAGGATTCTCCACAGTCTCAAGCCTAGATTTGCTCTTCTGTCTCACACGCTGGCATATTCCTTACCATTTTCACAAGCTGGGCCTTGCCAGTGGTGGCTGCGGGTGCCAAACGTCACAGGGCATTGATATGGGATTTCTGGGTGTGGCTGATCGGGGACATAATCCCTCCAGCTTCTGTCATGGGGTGGTATCATGTAGTTATGAACCTGCTAAAAGAACACAGGAATTGCTGAGATGAAAGTATCAGTACAGGGGTGTGTTCATATCCCACAAACTCTCAGGGAGCCTCTTCTTTTCAAAAAGACTGGAAGGAACTGTTCATTACACTAGGTAGAAAGCAGACATAAAGCACAATGGAGACACTGTTGTAAAGTAATGATATGTATAAAGTTTCATCTTATGGTTGAGTCTGGCACCAAAAATACTGCAGGGAAATTTGTCTTCTTTTACCCACCAAAGTGAATAAAACAGAGCTGCAATTCACACCAGGAAGCCTGGAGAGGTCAGCTGCTCTGTGGTTTCACATGATGGAGCACTCCCTCTAAAATCTTTGACTCCCAAAAAAGGTCTGCTTCCCAGAAGTTTGAGAATCCATAGAAGAAGCATATCTTACAGGACATAGCCAAGCTCCTCTACTTAACCAACGGGGACCTAAACACTAGGTGGAAAAGTGAAACATTCATTCAGTGACCAGGGGTTTTGTTCATCTGTTGGACAAATCATAGCAAAATCTAAGTCTTGCTGGTTTTGTTTGTGTTTTCCCTCCTCTATATTGGTCCACCACATAGACATAGCTTGGCCTTCCAGAAGCCTGGCATGTCCTACCCGCCCCATACCTGGGCTGGTAGTGAGGTGTAAGGTGCCGGCATGGTGTATGGGTGGCCCATGGTCATCTGCGGATCTTCCAGAGTAAGCTGCTTTGCTCCTGTGTTTGGAGAAAAGGGAAATGGCACAGAGTGAAAAAAGGAACTGATTTAACTAAACATAAAATCTTGGAAAAATACCTAAGAGCTTAATTCTTAGAATGCATAGGACAGTGTTGACAAGTAAGGCATTTTTAGCAACCCCCTTGGGTGATTATTTGTTCATGCCACTGAAATGACTAAACAAGGTCTGACTTGTGTGTGATAGGTAAAGTAGTAAATAAATGTGCTTTGTGACTCACCAAAGGGCTCCACCAGAGAGATGTTGCCCAGCTAAGGTCACCGGCATGATTTGTTTAAAATGCAGATTCCAGGCTCTGCTCTGGATGCACTGGTCAGAAAGAAGTCTAGAATCTAAATTTTCATAAGCTCCTGGCTATGTTCTAGACTGAAAGTTGGCATTTTGTTGCTATAAATGTAACAATCTATGGGTGTACAGTGTGTTCCCCTTCTAAAAAATGGTTACTCATTGAAAGCTAAGTTTTAGTGAGTCTTCCCTATGTTTTGTTTGAAAATTTGGTCCATATTGTAATTGAATGGTCTAACTGGAAAATACACACTCAATGCTCACGCACAGGTACATACACACACAGATGTAGAGTCTGGGAAATTATCCTATGCTAATATCACAAGATTTTCAACTCATTACCCAGAGGATATGGGCAAGGAGGCTGCTGGGCTTGAATATCGGGCAGGAGGCAGCAGGTTATAGAGAAGTAAAAATAGAAAGTGACCCTCGGAATGAAATTAAGGCACTGTATATGTGACGCTGCCTCTGTTCTGTGACCCACATTCGGGAAAGCCCCTACCTTTTTTGGCTCCCTCGGGAACAATCCTGTACACCTTGTAGGGGTCAGAAATATCCAGCTGGCTTCTCTCAACCAGCTCCTCAAAGTCATTGCTCTTGTTCAAAGCACATCGTAAACGTGTCTTCCAGGTAGGGGGGTCTGGCTTATCGATGCCTTCTCGGAATTTTCCTTTAAATAGAGCCCAAGCCTGGTGGGAAAGAAAGGAGAGAACAAAAAGTCAAATGTGGATCTTTTAGAAAAGAAACTGGAAACTGTATTTCTAAAAGAAAGAATGGTGCTTCAGATTTACTCTTTTGCTGTCCCAAAAATGTGGGGCAGAGAGACATCAGGGGTCCTCTAGGTAAAATATTTCTCACTTAGGACTATATCATTGCCAGCCTGAAGACCAGTCATTTGAACATTTTCTGGGTATTTATAAAAGGTGAAGGCCCCTGGAGTGAACTCTCCATCCAGTGCCTGAATCAAGTTTGCCAGGAAGGACAGAGCTGTGTGGGCAGAGCAGATCCCCTACAGAGTATTTCTGGATGGTTACACAGTCTGAGATATTCTGAGAGCAAATTCCCGGAGGAAGTCCCCTGACCCTGTCTTGCTTGCAGGTGGGGGCTGGGCCTCACAGTTCACTGGGTCAACTGCTCTGGGGGAAAGTAGTCATGATGGGGCACACACACAGAAAGAGGGAGGGAAGGAGAGAGGAGGGGAGGGGAGAGATGGGAGGGGAGGAGAGGGAGGGAAGGGGAGGGGAGGGGAGAGGAGAGAAGAGGAGAGGACAGAGACTGAGTCAAAGGGGAAAAGATCCAGAGAGAAACAGAGGGAAAAGTAGCGAAACAGAGTAAAACAGACACAGTGAGAAAGGCAGAAAAGCAGAGAGATAAGGGCACCACACCAAAGCCAAGAGTCAGAGAGACAGTAGCCAACGGAGGCAGAGAGGGCTCCAAAGGGCCCAAGACTTGACTGGAAACAGAGGAACCCACAGAGCAACAACCATGTGCCCTTGGGTCTTTGGCGACCTCCTCAGCCTAGTCCTCCCGGGATGTTCTCCTTCTGGAGCCATCTGACTGAGTCCCTGGAAGTATTTTGTTTGCTCAGGATTGGAACCTGTTCCCTTACTTGCTCAATTCTCCTCGCCCGCCTTCTCCTTCTCCAGGGGCTGAGGCCAGGCGCCACCGCCACCCTATGCTCCAGGTCACTGCCCCACAGGGGCTCACCCCATCCTGTCCTTCCTTTACAGTCCCTTCCTCCAGAACCTCCATGTGCTGGGCGCTCCTGACTGGGCTCGCAGCTGAGTCCGCGTCAAAGCCTGGCCGGGCTCTGGGTCCCTCCACCCCAGCCCGCCCATGGGCTCCCTGCGTGTCGGTGACCTTGAAGAGAGCGGCGTCCTCCTCGCGGTTGTAGTCCTGTTTGCCCGCGTGCTTCCATGGGATACGGAAGATGCTCTTCTCCTCGTTTTCCCACACTAGCCCCGGGTACTTGCCGCTGTCGATTTGGTCGATCAGCCACTGGCGGAGTTTCCCGTTGCCGCAGCTCACCGCGCTCATGCCGAACTCTCCACCTCGACCTCCGCCCTCCAGGTTCATGCCCAGTGTGAGAACTGCCGCCCTAGCGTGCGCCCGGGTTCAGACTGCACTTGCTCTGCGCTGCATGGGGGAGAGCTGCCCTTCACCAACCGCGCTCGGGGCACCCTGCCCCAGACCCTTCCGGCAGTGACCACGAGGCCCCGGGGTCTCTCAGACTGGGAAGCGCGCGCGTGTGCAGTGCCAATGTCGCCAAAGTCCCTTGAGAGAAGGCACTTTCTCGACAGTCCAGGGAGCGTCTCTTTGGCACTTACAGTTCTGCCGCTTACCGAGCGCGCCCTCCACGGAGTCCACCCTCCTATCCCACCTTCCCAAACTCTCCATTATTTGAATGCACCCTACAGCTCAACAGCTCCTGGGACACAACTTTCTGCACTTTCCTCAATCCAGCTGCCACCGCTCTTGGCATTCCGTTTACATACTCACTTGTTCCTGCTCCTCTTTGCCCACTCCCAACCAGTTTCCATACCATTTTCTCTTCACTTTGTTTCTACTCTTGCCCACTCCCAAGTTCACACTCCCTTGGCCCCCATGCGCGGGGGACCTCTCACGTGGTGTCGCCTGGGTCCAGGCTTTCCAGGTGCACAGGACCTAACGCCTCCTCCCCTTCGCTTTCTTCTTTCTTTGTCCACCAAATAACCCTAGTCCTGCCCAGCTAAGGAGAATTAAGTGGGCCCTGGAAGCAACAAGTGGCGGAATGTGGATATCAGTCGAGAATAGCAAGTAGCGGGAGATTCTGTACGCAGAGCATCGGCACGACCTCAGGGACAGGTGAGGGACAGCTGAGGCAGGGAGGGTTCTGGGGAGGGCTACACCAGCTCCCTGGCCTGGGAGGTGAAGGAGCGCACAAGAGAAGGGGTGGAGGAGGCAATATGCAGAGTTTAGAGCGGCCCAAATTTGGAGCTACTCCTCCCTCATAAACTGGGTAGCCATGGGCCAGGGGTGAGTTGGGGCCCCATAAGGACGAGGAACGGAAGAAGGGACCTTGGATTTGGGCCAAAAGGGTCAGGCGTTGTCCCCTGCGGACAAGCCTGCCCCCTGCCTGGATTCCTTTGAAGGCCCCACCTCTGTCACTCCTGAAGCCCTGACAGTCCCGTTAGCCTGTCAGTCCAGCTCGTGGCGCCTTCCGGACGTGGGCTGGGCGCACCAACAAAGTGACTAGACGTAGAAACCGGGAGAGCGGAGGGGATGCTCTGGCAGCGCCCCAGGCAGCCTTCCATAGAGCCAGAACACACTAGCCGGACCCAGCGCAGATGGGTGGAAATTAGGGGTCCCTGACCCGGCGCGCACACTCCCCGCTCCTAAATTGGGGTCTCCAGCGCTGCCAGAGATAGGACACGGAACCTCGGTTTGAGCCCCTGTCCTCTCACACTCCTCCTCTGTCCGATTCCACGCCTTACCTCGCCCGGCACTCTGAGCTGAGGGCAGCAGTTGGTCGCAAGTTCAAGTGGTGAAACTGAGAGAGAGAGGTGAGAAAGAGGAACTTTATAGAGCTTGAAAGCCGCGGTGGGGGCGGAGCGTGGAGAGGGGCGGGGACACTCCGCCTGCGGGATGGTGGGGGGGGCGTTGCCGGCGGGAGTGGGGGCCCGGCCTGCCAGCCCCAGCACCAGGGCTAGGGCAAGGGTCTGCGGTGGCGAGTATCGGGACTCTGGCGCGTCCAGCTACCCTCCGCGATCGAGCCGGGAGTGTGTGACCTCCTGGACAGTCACTGTGGGCCATTTCCCGCGAAGGGCGAGGCGCGGAGTGGGATCTCACCTCTGCACCTGCCCTCTGTAGCTGCCCTGAGGCTTGTCAGTGACTAGTAAAAGCTAAAGGCGGTGAGATGACTAGGGAGGGAGGGGCGCGAGTAGTAGCAGGAATCAGCAGCAAGGGCACTTTTGCAGAGCACGTGACCTAACACCGAGGACTGTCCTTATAGAAGAGCTGGAGTGAGGGGTGGGGGAGCACCCCTGGCTTGCCAATGCAAAGAGAGAACCCTGCCTCTCCGCGGAATTTAGAGAGCATCGCATTCATTAAAAAGAAAATAAGAAAGGGTCCGACTCCCTGAACTATAAACCGTGGTTCAAATATTGTGACTACGTGTTTGAAATGCTTACACACTTTTGCATCTATTAAACCGATGAACTGAAATGACTCAGAGAATGCACAACCCCGAGAGTTTCAATGATGGTGACATGAAAGAGATGGGGGTCCCGAAGTGTCCAAGTACTTAATAATTTCTGACTTTCAGCTCACTTTAAAATGATACAGTTTCAACCACAGTCTGGTTTCCTAGTGAGGTATAAATGTCCCAAGTAGGAATATTATTTAAGGAATAATACCTAATACTTAATACTAGTAGTAAGTATTAAGCATTTCCAAGTTGTTGGTAGCCTCTAAAATCAACTCCCAGAATTTGTGCCTCTGAACTTTCATCAGTTCATTTTGGATGGCTGAGTGTAAACTGTCAGATCGCCAGTTTCTATATGATTTTACATCACTCCAGGGCAACTTGCAACTTTTGAAAAGTTTTTGATTTCACTTATGTCTCAGTTTTTCTTTTAATCTTATATACTGGGTCAGTGTCTCCTACCTAAGGCAACAACAAAGTTTAGGCCAGAGCAAAACAGGTAGTGAGGTACTGGTAGGTATGCTTTCCCTAAAACTAAAGGACCTTCTCAGAAACTAACAGGATGCTGTATATTTATTTCACCCAAGTAAATTTTCCATTATGAAAGTTTATGCAATAAACAACAAAGTTTCATTCGAAGAAAATTCTGGTTACAATCTGTTTTTCTTCCATTCTTCTTCCTTCACTGATTCATTCGTTCAACAAATATTTTTCCTGCACCTACTACTTGTCAGGAACTGTTAGAGGCACATGGGACAAACTGCATAGCAGAGCAAAGATTGCTACTTTCAGGTCACATTCATTGTTATCAGCGAATTACTTTTTTCCCTCCAAAAAATGTGCACATACAGACAGGAGACTGTTACTTATGGGTGACATGGCAAAGGAGAGCCTTTTGCACTTTGCACCTGCCCTCTGGACTGAGTAGGTCAGTTTCAGCATTTTCATCACCCATCCACATCCTCTGTTTTTAGAAGTTCAAACAACAGTCATTGCATGAAACTTTCTGAGACTGTGCACAGCTACCTCCTTTTAAAACGTAATTGCTAACCTTCAACGCCATCTTCTGGTTTACTTGTTTGTCATATTGATCCACTACAAGGGATTTTTTTTTTTAAATGATGAGGTGAATACAAAGAACAAACTATTTTGAATCACTAAATCTCTTTTTAAAACATTTTATTAGCTTAATTATATAAAGTCATAGGTTTCATTTTGTCATTTCCATATATGCATATAATGTACTTTGATCATATTCACCCCCTCTTATAGCCCTTCTTATTCCCCTCCCTCTCAGCCTTTCCCTTTCCACACTCCTAACCTCCCTTTTACTTTCATATCATTCTTCCATCCTCAATTCCACATATGAGAGAAAATATGCAATACTTGTTTTTTGCGTGACTGGCTTATTTCATTTTGTTATGAAGATTTCCAATTACATCCATTTTCCTGCAAACAACATAATTTTGTTCTTCTTTAGTGCTGAATCCATTGTGAATCACTAAAACTCTTGGTGTCCCTATCCCTAGGAGAGAGAAGGGAGTAACCAGGTAGATGCTACCAGTTGCTCACCAAGGACTTTTACGTCTTCCTCATAGTCATATTTGAAACAAAAATGAGTATTTCAACTTGGAGCTTCCTTCTAACCCCTTCTGCCCCACATTGAGACTTGAGAAAAATGAACATACTGAACAGTAAAACATTAGACATTTATCTTCAAATAACACAACTTGCTGAAAGATGAAAAATAAAAACAAGTAGGAAGTCAGGTAATTGAATGTGTATCCCAGGCAAAGGCTATCTTCATATCCCACAGGAGATCATTTCAGTGAATTATCCAGATGAAGTGTTCTAGAGAATGGAGTCCAATCTAAATTGAGTATTTCAGTTTTCAATTCACATTTATCATAAAGAGACTTAAGAAAACTGAATACACCTAAATTTGATGTTTAAAAATTGAGCTCTTAAAATTACACCTTCCCATACAAGAAAACTATTTTAGACAAACTCATATTAGGCACACAAAAAAATCAACAATTCAGCTGAGGGGGGAAGAGCTATTGTTTCACTTCTACCAATCCCTTGGTTCCATCCCCAGCCTCCCAGCCTCACTAATTTATTCTCTGAAAGAGTGGAGCTACAATTTGTTTTAAAAAATGCAACTGTATCCTTGAAAAAATTTAAAGGGAAATCATTTTAACTACTTGCCAAAAATGCAGAAAAGTTTTATTGTTTTGTTGAAGTTCACATAGGATATCTATCTCCTTTAATGCGCTTTGGTTATATGTGTTGTACCATTATCATTGATCATGACGTGCTGAATGGCTGGGAAGTGTTACTGGTGATTATATGCTTGGGTTTGAGGGTCAGCCAGACCTAATTCTTACCAGTGTTGTTCTCTTTAACCTTCCCATGTTCAGTGAGGGTGATGGTGTCTCTGCCTTCTGGTGGTATTGTTATGATGAAGCAATGCTTTATACGATGTCTGGTATATCATAAATGTTCAACAAATCAGGATTATTTCCATTCATATCCTACTTTAACAGTTGGAGAAGTATCACAGACTTTATCTCAGTTGCTGGCAGGGCAGCCAGTATTCAGGCCAATTGTACAGATAAGGAAAGAAATCCAGAGAAGTCTCCTGTGGTCCATTGGCCTGCCCAAGAACACAGCTCTGAGGCACTCTTCTTTTTAATGTGTACACAGCCCTTTGGCTGCCCCTGAAGTTAATGTTTCTGAATCAACCTGAGTGTAGGTTGTCAATCAGGAGATGGCATTTGCATTCCAGTCCTGGTACACACTGCTTAAGCCAGCATGGGTAAGACACCTTGTCTATAAAGTGAAGGTTAGCTGCAGGTGGCCACCAAGCCCTTCCCTATCTTTTCTCAACCCTAAATACTTTTCTTCTTTCTGCTCTAACTTATGATCATTAATTAACGGCTTCTTACTGGCCAATTTAGAAGAAAAAAAGCTGCATTTTTGAAAAAGCTACTGACTTAACCACTGGTCTTCACTTCATTCTTCTTCACAGAGCTATATTAACTTTTAGGAAATTGGAAGAAACTGGTGATGTTTCTCAGCCTCTTCCCTTGAATATTTAATCTGATGAAAAAAACTATCCTCATAAGCAACTTATAGCAGACAGGATTTAGAATGGAACATTCTGGTGTTTTGTTTGTTTGGCAATACTAGGGTTTGAACTCAGGGTCTGTGCTTGCTAGGCAAGCACTCTACCACTTGAGCCCTGACCCCAACCCAGGGATGGAAAATTCTGGAAATAAAATTATGTGTGAAATGCTCACACTGCATACCTTATTTAAAAGAATTGAGTCGGATGTTCTTTGTAGTGATACTATCTTTGGCAATATAATTTGATGCAGAAAACTGGATTTTGTTCATGCAGAGTTGTATATACTTTTCTAATTTAATTTGAAAAATACATTGAGTTTCTTTGAAGAAAGTATTTGCAGAGTTCTAACATTAAACACCCCAGAACACAGGCTGTTAATAAGCAACATGTGAGCTCCTTTGGTACACAGAGTTAATATGCACAGCTTTTTCCTAACATAATAGAACTCACTCCCAGGCTCAAAGGAAACGAGACCTGTCATTTTATGCAATTAAGAAGTCATAAAGTCAAAGACTCTATGACAACATTGACTCCTTTCCTCATGTTTATAAACATCTAACTGTTCCCCTTATGTTTTCTCTTATTGCCAGTATTCTAAGAAGTTTCCTTGTAATACTCTTTTTTTTCTCTGACTTATTATGCTCACTACATAAGTAGTGATGTGGCTTTAAACAAGGAATCTCTTGATACTGCCAACTCCCTTCCCTAAGCCAATAAGAATGCAAATGGTTTGCAATCACTTGGATGGTTTTCTGAAAACTGAAGCAATAGGTGAAAGGCAAGTGGCGTTGTCTAATGTTACTCATTTGTAGCAGTGTGTTATGTTGGATTATTCTAAACTTCAACTTTTTTCAGCTAAACATTACAAAACAGCATACCATCACTTATCACACGTAAGGCATTACACCTGAGACTCTGAGGGAGGCACTTTGGGTGGTAGATTGTATCTTTCAGGAAAAGTTAGATTGTGCTGGAATAATAAGATCCCCTGAGATATGTGTGTGTGTGTGTGTGTGTGTGTGTGTGTGTGTGTGTGTGGTGTGTGTGTTCTTTCTGGCTCACATGAGATGTTCAGGGCAGTTCATTACCACTCTGAGAATCCAAGCTGAGAAAGGAGCATCAATCAGAACATACCTGCTCACTTGGCAGAGAGTAAGGATTCAGGGAGAACCACGTGCTGGCTCTTCACATTTGTGCTTGGCAGTGAG